CTATCCATAAAAGGTGTTACACCTCTTGCCGTATAAATGTTTTGTGAGGGGGTCCCTAAAGAGGGACAGGGTGGGTGGGGAGGTTGGGGGAATTGAGATAAAAGGAATACAGTATCTGTGTCTTCTTATCTCTAGGATCCAACGACCTGTAGTAATTGCTGCCCATTGGACATAAAAGAGGCGGAGATGGTGGTGAAAAGTCGTGTGATCATGAGACACTAGTCGAATGGAGAGATCTTGCAAGCCCTCAACCAGGTTTTCAAACCTGCTGTCTAGAGTCTTGTTGGTTAGGGGAATGATTATTAGTGCCCCGTTGTTGATTTCTTCCCCTTGATTGGTTTTGTTTGAAGGTCCTTGTTGACGTCTTGCATAGGAGAAATCTAAGTTTCTCTGGTAAGGGTTGTAATGTCTCCTACAATAAAGTGGTATTTACATCCCAAAGGTATGTACTCTTGTGTGGGAATTTTTGACAGAGTGTAAAACTTTGTCAGTGTTTGCAGGGAAAATTTTCTTTTCGCTGAAGAGCAATTCTTCTACCTTGGTTTGTAACTCTTTTGGTACCCCTGCTACTTGTAACCAGGAAGAATATTGCATGACTACTGATGTAGCCAGTGCCCTTGTTGCTGTATCTGCTGAATCCACTGCCATCTGAAGCACTGTTCATGAAATGGCATAACCCTCTTGAACGATGGATTTCAAGATGAGTCGTTTATCGTCTGGTAAGTGCTGCATTAACTTGGTTAGTTTGGCATAATTGTCAAAATCACGGTTTGCGAGTAATGCAGTGTAATTAGATAACTGGAGCAGCTAAGTGGAGGAGGAATACACCTTTCTGCCAAACAAATCTGGTTTCTTGTATTCCTTGTCACAGACGGACGACTTGTATTGGGGATTTTTGGATCTCTAATTTGCTGCATCTACAACTAGAGAGTTCGGTTGCGGAGGAAAGAATAAGTAATCCATGCCTTTCGAGGGTATAAAATACTGATTGTTGCCTGACTGTTAGTAGCCATACCTCATCTGCTGCTTCCATAATTGCTTCATCAACTGGAAGTGTGATCTTTGATTTGGCAGCTGGGTGTAGGTTATTTAGGAGCCTATGTTGTTTTTCTGAACCTCAGATAGAGTAACCTGTTGGCTGGAAATGACCCCTTTAAAAAAGCTTGTGAAATTGTTTCACATTGTCAGTTGGAGACGTGTCGTCTAGAATGACCACCTCATCAGGAAAGGAAAATGATTTGTGTGTTGGTGAGGCACCTTGTGGTTCCTGGTGTGGCTTGTCACTGATCTGTCCCTCTTCGGTATCTTCTTCCTTTGTCAGTGGGGGGAGGACTAGGAGAACGGGAGGGTGATAATGACCTGTGGTCAGGTGTGTGTGGTGCCATGGAGCAATGTCACAAGGGAGCACAATGACAACATGGCGACCACCGTGATATGTGGTGAGGGTGATAGGACAACTCAGAACAGCATACAGGATGGTGATGGTACCGTGGTCGGTATCTATCAGGATGGTCTGGTTGGAGAGGAATGCTGAGATGAGAAAACACTCCTACGGTGGTCTTCATATTCCGAGTAGTGTGAAAGCACTGGTAATCTTGGTAAATGAGGAAGGGAGAGTATCTTATTAATGATGGAGACTGAGATTACGGTGCCATAGTTGGTGCCAGTGCATCAGTATTTCGCCTGTAGTACAAATGGTGTCAGGAATCAGGAGCATCTTATGGTGTGGCTGACCTAGGTGCCGACGGAGGAGGCATTGGTGTTAATGGAGAGGACACTAGTTCCAAGCTTGGCGAGTGAGACAGTGGTCTAGTGGATTTTGCCTTGGCTTTCGCCGGTGCTAGGGCCTGGTTCAGAACCTGTGGTGCCAGAGTCTTATCCAGTTCTGGGATTTTATCTGGTTCTGAGGTCTCCTGCAGCTTCTGTGCCATTGGGATAGGTGCCATTGTTTGTGTTTTTGGTTTCGGTTCCACAACCAATGCAGCACAGGGGGGGCTGGTGCCAGATGTGCCTGATTTGTCCCCCATGATGACTCTAGGAGGCAAGGACCAGGCTAGAGAAATGTCCTTCCTTGCTTGTGACTTAGAGGAAAAGGAACTTGGCCATTCCTTATGTTTACTAGGGGCTTCATGATGACTACTGCCATCTCTTCAGGTGGCTGGGGCTCAAAAGCCTTATTGAAGAGGAGCACTCTTAGGCTGAGCTCCCTGTGTTTTCGCATGCAGACTGTGTAGCAGTGGCAAAGCACGTATTTTGGGGGGATGTGCGCCTCACCCAAGCATCAAATGCATGACCCATGGCCATCCGAAGAGGGCACTTGTCACATTTCTTAAAGCCAGGTGAACCAGGCCTTGTTTTGGTTCCTCCTCCTCCTCCTGGCTATGTGCTGTGTGGAGAAGGTTTTAACAGAGTATAACCCAGCGATACCTTGAGGCCTTGCGCTGTCAAGTTGAGTTTTTAACCAATCTTAAATCAAGTTTAAAGTCTTTCTTCTCTTTTGTGAGGGGCTGTTTCAGGCCCTGTTTTGCTGTGGTATTTCTTAACGGGATGAGGGACAACTATTTACATGAGGAAAACAAGTCTCTCTCTCTCTCTCTTTTTTAATTACATCTAGGAACACTATGTAAAACAAGAATAATAAACTTACTAAATAACTAAGTAACTAACTCTGCTTTCGTTTGCAAGAAAGGAAGCGGAGAAGATAGTTTGAGCTCCATCTGCAACCAGACGCGATACAAAGGAACTGAGGGGAGTCAGGCCACACGTTCAAACTCCAAAGGTGCGAACAGCACGTACTCTTGCCGCGTGCATGTGGCCTGACCAGATACTGCTGGAAAAATCTCTGATCTGAGGCACCGGGACGAGCCCAACACCAACAGTGGAGCACCCACAGAGACATCACTTGAAGAAGAACATCCTTCCTAATTCTAGCATTCTTTATATCTGAGTAATAGAATCCTCTAAGATTATATCGATCCAATAATGGATATTAATCTTACCATCCCTATCCCACAGAGGGCTCCAGAAGAGGTAGGCTGCAGTCCACTAGTGGATCAGGATCCAAAAAGGAAGGCAGAAGGGAGAAAATGCTCAAAAAGGACTATTTCATATATCCATGAAAAGTTCCAATATTCTGTCGTGTATGCACAGTATAAACACATCAGGATAATCTTCAAGAACTACAGCATTCACCACTATGTGTCATCAGTTGGTTTAAAAGTTATATCTGATGAATGCTTGAGATATGAACTTCTCTCTTTATAGGAATTTATTACCTCCTAAAAGTAAAAATTTTATTTCTAAGGGTGGCATTTGTTCAGAGTATCAATATAGAATCTACTCTCATTCCTCAGGATTTGAGTTTAAGGAGGAAAGTGATATATTAGAAGGGAGAAGAGGAGGAATACTAAATGAGAGCAAGGTCTACTCACAAAACTCATAATACTCCATAACTTCTCCATAATGCACGTCTTAAACAAAAACCAAAATGCCACTGTGCTCATGTAGCCCTCACGCCTTTATAACAACAAAACTGGGAAGCTGTTTTTCAAAACTGTTTTAACTAGTTGCAGAAACAACTACAGTTTATTTTGAAAACATGAATAATGAACCTAATCGGTACAGGTTGGACCTCCCTCGTCTGGCATCTTCGGGATCTGACTGGCCCCAGAAGAGGGATTTTTCCAGACCATTTCTGACCCCCTGCTGCCAGCCCTGCCCCTCAAAGGCTTCCTGACTCCTCCCTGCAGCACAGCTAAGCTGTCGCACCCTCCTCCCTTCCTCCAACTGAGTGCGTGTAAAGTCCCTCCTCTCCCCCAGCTTGGCTACCAGTCCTCCGCACTCCCCCCAATAGTGCCAAGCTCCCAGCCTCTCCACCCCATACAGCATTCTGAGACTCTTTGATCCTGGATGTTGTTGGTAGGGTTGCCCAGGTAGACCCTGCTAAAAAAAACTGTCACTCTTCGCACCCTCCTCCCTTCCTCCAACTGAGTGCGTGTAAAGTCCCTCCTCTCCCCCAGCTTGGCTACCAGTCCTCCGCACTCCCCCCAATAGTGCCAAGCTCCCAGCCTCTCCACCCCATACAGCATTCTGAGACTCTTTGATCCTGGATGTTGTTGGTAGGGTTGCCCAGGTAGACCCTGCTAAAAAAAACTGTCACTCTTGTCTGGGGCGGGGGAGGGGACCGGCCGGGAGGGGGGCAGGGCT